TGAGGCAGTCCATTAAATTTATGGCTATCCCTTCCAGCAAATACTATTTTTAAGATGGAGACAATCTGAAGCTATGGGGGAATAAAAATGAGCCTTTATCCATGAATATTGTAATATATTTCCAGTATTTTTTCCCCAATAGATACCTCTGAAGACACAGCAGCCATCAATCCAGTGGATTCAGTTATGCCTGCCACAGAAACAGTCGCAGAAGATGCAGTCCAGCTTCTGGTGAAACGCCAGGCACCCACTGGATGCCTCCTCTATCGTTATGGAACCTTTGCCACTAATCTGGACATCATCCGTAAGTCTAGGGAATGATGGGTAATAGGAACCATTGAGCACCCATACCAAGTAGGCCAGAGGCTGTTGGGCAACATTAGGCAAGGAGGATGGATCTAAACTACGTGCAAAGCCATCTACCTTTAGAAGATGACAGAATAATGTGATTGCCATAAGACAGCCTTCCCCAACCCAAACTTTGCCACATATTTTTAAAGTTCCAAGCTAGCAGAGAATTGTGATCAGAGTACAATTGGAAGATAGATTAGGTAAGACTAACATGACATGTCTGGGGCTAAAAGCTATACAAGATGTCCTTTGAAAATTAAATTGTCCATTTCACACTCTGTTTTCCATATCTGAAAGCATGTCCATTTTATGGTGTCTTTGGTGCTGTCTGAATTTGGTTGTTTGCTTTTGCACTGCTGATGTTACTTTTCTGGGTAATAAAACACCTGCAAGAAAATAACCAAGTTCAGAGAACACCATGGACTCCACAGTTCAACCCTGAGCTAACCAATAGTCTCTTCTATTGTAACCATGTCCTTTTTACCTAAAAAACTAAACATTTTCTTCCAGTTAACTTTGGTGTATAGAAGCCAGGTTTAAAAGGCCTCCCCGTACTGTACAGGAATAACTCACAGAGTGAGGGGGAAAATATGGGACATCTATGCTGCATAAACATTTCTGTGTTCTCTTTTATTGCAGAGGGCATCGAGAGTGTGGAAATTGTGCAGGTAATGCCGCTGACGCCCGCTATTGCTGAGAATGCAGTAGATCTTACTGTGACGTGCCAGGGAAGGTAGGTTTCATAGGTTAAAAAAAATAATAAGTCTGATATCAGAGTCCCACTTTCTTAAAGTAGTTGAAGCATGTGGGATCATGGAGCAAAAAGAAAGGATATTGCAGGGGTCTTCAAACTTGGCTCTTTTATGACTTGTGGACTTCAACTCCCAGAATTCCTCAGCCAGGCACGCTGGCTGAGGAATTCTGGGAGTTGAAGTCCACAAGTCATAAAAGGGCAAGTTTGAAGACCCCTGGGATATTGGATATTGAGCAACTAGAGCTGTGAAACAAGCCCCTCAGAATGGTGGGTGTTTGGAAAGATTTTTGAACAACAATATTTGAATAGCAGAGCAATCATGTGGAAACCTTGCCAAGGGGAGTGTCCATATGTATGATTTTGGGAAGGGAACTGGCCTTTTTCTGATGGATGGACTAATAGCCTTGTTTCACTTATAGCCTCCCTGAAGAAGTCTGCACAACTATCTCAGATCCTGATTGTGTGATAGTCCAAGAGAGTATATGCAACCCTGTTCAGCCAAGCCCAGACTGCCAGTTTGTTTTGCGCCAGGCCTTCAACCAATCTGGCCTCTATTGCGTCAACATCTCACTGGCTGATGCCAACACCTTAGCTGTTGCCAGCACCCAAGTCAGCATCCAGAGTAAGGCCCACTATACTATGGTGACCTAAGTCTTCTGTAGGACAACGTTCCTTCTGTTTCTCTTTATATTATCGGCAGTTTTATTGCAATCTCTCCTTCAAGTATGCCGACCACCAGAGGCTAAATATAATGGCTGGATTTATACATCTTCTAAGCCATAGTTAACAACCACAATGACTAAGTTGACATACATCTAAGCTAAGAACAAATAAATTGTGTGATGGTTTTACACATGTGTCAACCTAACCAATTTCTTCCTCTTTTTTTGCTCTTTGTGAAGTATGGTAAAGTTGAGGTAGAGTTGTTTACAATAAAGCTTGTCTATTTTTCTATTAGAAATATAGGTCTATTCTAAAGGAATGGTTTGCCCATATTTCTAAAGGAACAGCACACAATCCTTATTATAAGCACCACTAAATATTCATTCCTCTGTCTCTTATAGCAGAAAGAAATCAAGCTTCAGCCCAAATTACATTTGTAGTTGGAATGCTGCTGGTTATTGCTGCCGTGGGAACCGCTATCTATACCTATCGGTGAGTCTACTCCCATTCATATCTTGGTTGTTCAACTAACATCTGACTGAAGATGGGACAGTCTGACATTTCCCAACCAAGCGCAAGAGCTGCGGGTTAAATCCTAGCCTAATGTTCATATTCTGCTTTGGCTAGGAGATGATGCAAGGGGATCTGTGCTTTTGCTGCTCACCCACAAAAATCAAGTCCTTATGGCATCTGGGATGGATCTGAAATAGCAAGGTGATTAATCTTTGGAGCATGTTAAGTTACTTCATCAGAACAGAGAAAAGAGTGTCTGGCTGGACGTTGACCGATAGTGATTCTCCAAGATTGCAAGCAAAGGTTTGCCCTGTAGTTACAATCCTTGAACTAGGCATGCCACAGATGCGTCCTGCTCTAAGTACAGACTTCCTTCCCTCTATTAAGTTCTCCATTATGTATGCTGACATTTAGGGAGATGACAGCAGAGATGGAGCAGCTTTACTAGGGTAAAATCAGAGTAACGCGGGCAATTGAAAAATGTGATATCTTGCCTAAACACATAACAAAGGAGTTAATTTGATCTGTGAAGCTTCTGCAAACAAATCTTCCTCCCCAGAATTTCATTAATTGCTCTCATTGGCTGTCTTCTGTTGGTTCGTTGGCTTTTCTTTTCAGGGCTTCTTATATTATCTTGCAACTTGTTCCGTAGGCCTCCTGTATACTATGCCTCTTATAAACTAACCACTCTGAATGGGCAGTTCACTGTTGTCATATTATTTATGGCAGGCATTTTGCAGAGCCCACCCGGTGGAGGTCTTTATCTCTCATAGGGCCGTTAAACAGCAGAAGACTAAATCTTTACAGGCTGAGCTCTTCTCTTTTGCCAGACAAAGAATGTTAAAGAGTTCTTATTCAAAAGAGCAAGCAGAGTAAGGAACATGGAGATGCTTTTGGTGCTCTCAAACTTCAATGTGCTCAAGATTGTTACTAATGTCTTCCTTGGTTACAGGCATTTGAGACACATCCCTCTACGGGCCATGATGTCTGCTGGTGCTTCTCCAAGGAACTGGTTTCCTGACCGCACAGCTGTACGCCTCTTCCTTGGCCAGGCATTTGGCCGGCGGGCCAGTGGGGAAAGCAGCCCCTTGCTCAGTGGCAACGTCATCTAAGTGGAAGTCAACAAGTCTTGCAAACTAAAAACGCATTGAGCCATTACTCAAAAAGGAAATCATGCCCCTTATATTTCCCTTAAGTTGATACTTTTCTGATACCAGCTGAGTAAACAGCCACTTTGAGGTGCCATCTCAGTGCCTGCCTAGATGGGGAGATACAGACAGCACTGAAGTGTAGTCGTTTTTAGAGCACCACAATCACATTGAGTTTGTGCCATGCTGGTCCTAGGAGAAAAAAATGGTAGTCAAGAGAGCTGTTCATTTGGCTTTCTTCCCATGACTTATTTCTTTGGGTCACGGAAGAAATCAGCAGTGTAGTTTTGGGACAGTTAAGTTTTAAATTAACCCCCTATAGTTGACCTCGACTTCTAATAAAGGATAAGAGGGTTAACCCTGTTGACCAATTTCTCGTACTGAGACCACATTCTAAAGCAGTCCCTCAAAAATGGGGCTGACCCCATTTTATTTTCTATGCCCCCATAACTAGATGGGGGAATGAATCATGGCAAGAAAGATAATATTGTATCGACTTTGTCTGCAGTGGCATGAACCCCAATCAGCCACTGCAGACTTATTTTCCCAAATAATAATAATAATAAGGAAAAAAAGGAACCAGCATTCTACCTTGTTTAAAACGGTTCACAGCTGCTTCCAAGACATCCCTAGTAGTTCATTGCTGTTATGCATAAGCATTTCCCAGGGAAGAGGCACATTAACTTCAACCCATTTCATGCAAACCCAGAGAGAACCAACAAGATGTAGGCTGGTTTCATTTAAGTCAATGGAGCATAACTGTATTGTTTTAAATTTTGTCTGTCCATCTTTTCTTTAAAAAACACAGTATCTCCTTTATACACCATGAACAAATATATCAAAAGTTTGATGGACTATTTCTCAGTGTGATGTTTGTCTGTGCAATGTGAGCCACTTAGGTGGGGAACAGCAGTCGAATTGTGAATCCCATTTGCTAGATGGACAGTCTAGATCTTGGTTCTACTGTGTTTCTCTGAAAATATGACCGGGTCTTATTTTTTATTTTTTTGCCTCCAAAAAAGGCACCCGGTCTTATTTTCAGGGTAGGCCTTACCTCACCTCCAGCACCGACAGCCCCACCCAGCTGGTCCACTTCTTCTGGGGCCGAAGTTCTGCAGCTGCATTTGGGCCTGCATTTTGCAGTCAGGCCTTTCCAGAAGGCCTAAGCAGCCGGGTACCAAGCTATGGATTCAAACCATAGCTTGGTGCATAGCTGCTGAGGTCTTGCAGAACCGACCTATGGATTAAATACATAGCTCGGTTCTTGGCTGCACAGGCCTTCCAGAAAGTCCTGTGACTGAGAAATGCAGGCCTGGGCTGCAGGGTAAGTGGGTGTGGGGCGGATGGGGCAGCTCCACACCCCCACTCCAGCTTGATTTTTAGGTGTGTGCCTCACCCCAAAACTAGGGCTTATTTTTGGGATAGGACCTATATTAGGCTCACCCCCCAAAATCAAGCTAGGGCTTATTGTTGGTGTAGGCCTTACTTTCGGGGAAACATGGGTAGAAACTAATCAACACAAACAGACCACCTCATAAGAAAATGGATTTCCAGCTGCCTCATTGACACTGCACGGGAGCAAGATATCAGAGCTCAAACTGGGTACTGATGGCTCCAGGGGACAGAAAGAGGAGGAGAGAGAAGGCACAGAAGCAATCTTGGGCAATTCTGGAGGTGGAAATGGGGAATGAGGGTGGCTGCATCTCACAAAACAAATTCTGCAAAAGTTTCTTCCAAAAAGAGGTGCTAGGATCTAGAACAGGAGAAAGGACAGGCTGACATAAAGCGAGCACGAGTATCTGCAACTATTTTATATTCTTCAGAGAATACAGTCAGAGAATACACTTCAGAGATTCTTTTGAAATTGGATGCCTGGGAAGAGAATGGTATGAGGCAAGTCAAAGTGGACAAAGGAATCCACAATTTATAAGAAAAATAATTCTCAAGCCAGGCCATGGTCTAGGGCAGTGATGGCGAAACTATGACCCATATATCAAAGGTGACATGCCATGTTTTACATGATTTGCCAGGTTCATCAATATATGACATTGATGAACATTCTCAAAAGTATGCCCCATTCTCACACAGTTTTTGGGGAACGCTGGACCATGTGGCACACACCTTTCCCCAAGGTCCGCAACCCTTGAAGAATGGCACACAGTGGCCTTTTTGAGTGGCAGTGATGGTGGAACATGGGCTGAAATTGAGGCCCAGGCCTCAACTTCAGGCCCACCCTGAGCTGCCACCAAGTGTCTCTGGCTCAGGGTGGCCTAAGGAGGAGTGTTTATCTTGCTGTGTGTGTGTGTGTGTGTGTGTGTGTGTGTGTGTGTGTGTGAGAGAGATACACCAGCAGAGTCGAGTTAGGCATTTTCCAAATTTTTGACAAGCTGAGTAAAAAAGGCCTGCCATCATGGACCTCGGGTTTCTTGGATAGCAGGTAAGGCAGGGTTTGCTGTTGTCCTAAATTTCTGGAAAAGTTGTGGAATGCAGTGGGAAGGATGACCCATCTGTTAGAATGAAAGTCATTTAAGCACACAACCACTCCCACTCCAAAACAGAATATTTTGACAGAGTAATTCAATACGTGAAGGCAAACACTTATATAGGGATGGACTTCCTTACAAATTCTGAAATTGGAGGAAGGGGCTTTGCAATTAAAATGATATGCTTGACTTGTAATCTAAGACTTGTTTACTAAGACTGAAATCTAAAGCTGGTCTTGCCTTTTCTAAGTACAGATGGACATCCATATGAGCAGCTACAAGCCATTTGGGAACAATAACCACCAAAAACAGATTAAACATGTTGCTATAGTAATATAAAGACTTTCTGCATGGCCCTATAACAAAATCTTTGGGGAAAACAAAAACTGGCATGGCTGTGCAACGAGGCTACTCATCCTGATCCTTTCTTCTTCATTATATTTATATCATTATCAGCAAAAGTAAGATTGGGGTTTATCAAGTTTCACTTATTTGTATTTGAGGGTAAGATAAGGCAAATGTGCAGAGGCCGGAAATCACTCCATTTCCGTTTCAGTTGATAAAAAGTTCTAATCGTGAAGATTTTGGAATGATCAGGGATGATAGTTTGTCACATTTGAGCCTATTATTGTAAGGCAGTTTTGGTTCCTTTTTGTTTCTGAAAAACTCCCAAGGCAGTTTGAAAATGAGTGAAAAAAATTACTGCTCTACTTTAAGAATGTGATACCAGAAAACTAAGCCCACTGCATGATGTTATAAGCCAGTAAAATAAATTATTTCCCCATTCTTATTTCATACTGCATTCATCTGGCTGTCTGCAAAAATCCTACAAGTCGTTAATATGAAATGTTGAAAAGTCAGCCAAGCCCTTTCCCCCTGAAAAACTCTGTGGTGTGGTTACAGGGAGGAGGCTAGTGTTTCCACAAACTGACCAACAACCCACCAATAATCCCCTGAGAACCAGAGCATCTCAAAAAATAATTTAGCTTCACGGCACTTTCATTTTATAGCCAAGGTAGAAATAACTCACCACAGCAACATCTATTGAAAAATATATTGTTTGAATTGCTGGGCGTGGAACGAATTCTTCAGCAGTGCAGACTATGTTTACGATTGCCCATTTTTTGGCCACAACTCCCATTTTTGGTATACAAATTCTTCCATTTGCTAATTAACCTTTCCCCCCCATCAGGCATCCTTGACGTGATCATTGATCAAGCTGGTTACAGGGTGTGAAAGCAGTAGTCCAACACATTCAGATGGCCCCAGGCTCATGAGGGATTCTAATCACACTTGACTAAATAAAGTATTCAGTTCAATAGTTCCAAGATTTTGTGAGGACCCAAGTCCCAACTGGACTAAAACTTTTATAATACTGTATTACTATGCTGCCCTAGGGAAAGGGGTAGGTTTATACTATATATATGTACATATATGTATGATTTTTTAAGGAGGTGTCCAGTGGGGCCCCAACTGCACAAGACGGGATGGTTGAGTGAGGAAGGGAAGTAGGAAAGAGGGAGGAAGGAGGAGTGGTGGTAGTTTGGGAGGAGGAAGGTGTGGTAAGTGGAAGAGGGCGGTGCGGGGGGGGGGACACCGGATGCGTCCGTGAATGTATTGATTAGTGTTATTTTTCTTGGTTGATATTGTGATAAAAGATCTATGTTTTTGTTTTTAATTGAAAAATTAATAAAAAATTTATTTTTTTTTAAAAAAAGGACTGGGGTGGCATAATAGTAGTCTTACAATATCTAAGGGTCTGCCACAAAGAAGAATGGGTCAACCTATTTTCCAAAGCACCTGAAGGCAGGACAAGAAACATGGATGGAAACCAATCAAGAAGAGAAACAACCTAGAATTAAGGAGAAATTTCCACTGAACATCTAATCAGTGGAACAACTTGCCTCCAGAAGTTATGGTTGCTCCAACATGGGAGGTTTTTAAAAAGAGACTGGACAATCATTTGTCTGAAATGGTATAGGGTTTCCTGCCTGAGCAGGGGGTTGGACTATAAGACCTGCAAGATCCCTTCCAATTGTTATTCTATTACTATCACCAAGTCCGAAGAAAGGTTGTGTAAGACTAAATGCAGAGCACTGAAGGGAGACCATGCTGGTGCCACCAACTGTTTTGTTCTTGCTAGTGTTGGAGACAGATCTCTTGTTCTCCTTCAAGCACCCTCATGCCGTACCGTACTATAATTTGAATACAGTAGAGGGTGCAAGTGCTCAGATTCATTCCTTATTTCATAACAACACAGAAGCATCATTAAGTCCAATAAAATCTAAGAAAATCTCTGTAAACGCTGACCCTTTTAAGCAGCCTTGTTTTGCTCAGCAGGCCATAAAATATTCTGTTTGATGTATTTTATTTTCCAATGTTTTCGTTTCCATGTTCCCTTCGTTTTCCCAGTTCAAGCTGCTAAGTTGAGAGCTGTGTTTGATGTTGCTTTTAAAACGCATAGAAATAACATATCAAGTTTCCTCATTATC